TATATATATCTCTCAGATGTAAACATCTTTACTGTCACTTTTTTGTACAGACCCGGGTTAAGTTGCATCTTGATTTCAGAATATCCCAAATTGGGTGTTTTACTTAAAATTTTCCCAAAATCTCCCAAATTGGATGTTTTACTCCAGTCTGTTCTAAGATTTGAATCCGTTCTAAGATTTGAACATGTATACAGCAAAATATAAGAAATTTAAGATATAATAACCTTTTGTTTCAAAGATATAAATTTGAGCAAAATATATCTAACAGTCATGACTAGTTAATTTAATAACCGGTTAATAAAGGTAAATTTAGACATTTAAAATATGCCAAGGTCCAGTCTATGTAATCTATATATCAGTCTTTCTAGATTTTGACATTGCAGTGCAAACTGGTAACTCAGACTTTACTCATATACTCAAAATCTATTAAATAATGTTTAAAAAAAAAATTGACAGGTATGTCTTGTTTCCCGAAATGGGGCAATTAGTGGATGGTCTTGTTTCAAATAAACATCTATTATTCTGTAGTTATAGAATTTGGTGAGTAAATTCAAACACCCATGAGTGGAGCGTTTTCATTTTAGTGAATGGGATGCGACACCACATGGCAAACACCTAATGTGAATGCTGTAATCTGTTAGTTAAAGGGTGTCAAAATGAAAACACACTGCCCACATAAGTCAATCTATTCTACTTTTGTTAGTTAAACAAAACTCTGTGCTAAAACAACATGTGCTTTATTACCAGACATTATGTTTTATAATCAGAAAATACGTAATGTTCCCAAAATCAAGTAAAAATCAATTTCAGGTTACAGAATGTAAACCTAATGCTGAGATAAAGCACTTACATTGACTACAGTCTTCTTTTAAAGCCATTACTGTTGCTTTACTGATTAGCTTACAAATCTTGTTTATCCACTGGTTAATGAATGACCTGGAAATGTGACACTGTTTGGACGTGTGTGTGTGTGTTGTGTTATTTACCCACAGGAGAGGGTTCTGTTGTTGGCCTTTCAGGAGTGTCACAGAGCTCTAATGTCCTGCACCAACCAGCCCTTCCGCAGCGAGCCGACAGACAGCTACATGTGCAAGCAGATCCTCCACGCACGGCCGTATAAAGTCTCCCAGGAGCCCGTCTCCATCCATCTGCCCATCTCTAGACTCCTGGCCGGTTAGCAGAATTGTTGAATCCCTGTATTAGAAGTCAGACTTTTGAGGGTTTCTAACTGGTGACGTCTTAAAATGACAGAGGAAGTAATGTCTGTGGTATCTTCAAAAATGGGGTGTTACATGGTTACATTAAAGAGAAGGTTAACTCATTTTCAAAACTTCTCTTATTTTTTCCCACTAACATTCTTCTCTTTTTTTCAAAAGTGAACATTGGGTCACACTTTATTTTAAGGTTCAGTTCTCGATATTAACAAACCATTAACTACAACTTTTGCCTCAATAAACTCCTAATTTGCTGCTTATTAATAATTAGTAAAGTAGTTGTTAAGTTTAGGTATTGGGTAGGATTAGGGATGTAGAATATGGTCATGCAGAATATGTGCTTTATAAGCACTAATAAACAGCCAAAATATTAATAATAGGTATGCTAATAAGTTAGTAGCAAGAATTGGTCCTTATACTTAAGTTTTTTTTTTAGTTCATAAATTTCATTGTTAAATATATTGAAAGTCGCTCGTCAGCCAGGTGAGAGTGTCACCAATTCCACTTTTTTTTTTTCATTTGTTAAAAAAGAAAAATCACTAAAAACATGAAAGTAGAGAATATTTGTAACTACAATAATTCGTCATTCTCTGAAAAACCTGCATGTTCAAAATCTGAACATGAAAAAAGTCTCCAAATAAGCTGTTGGATCATCAACTGATATTTCGAACACATCCATTGTTTCATTTGAACATCTTGTACATCTATATGTCGCATGACATGGCCTTTAATGGTTATTGATGCTGTCTAAATTTTATTTGTTTTGAATGAATGTATGTATTGTATATTGGAGGGGTGAAAAGGAAAACAAATGCAAATATGTAACAGAATATCAATGTTGTTTGCGTCATTAACATATTCTAACTTTTGCCGATGTTTTAGGTGTATTACTATCAGGATGTTAAGTGCAGGGATGAAATGTTTGATAAGGATGTTATCATGTTGCTGGTATGTCCTTAAAATCATAAATTTGTATGAAATATAAAAATAATAATATCAAATAAATAATCTAATTATTAAAGTAAAAATATATTCATTCAATTAATTACATTTTCTGACCAACCACAGATTGCTGCTTCCAAAATGGACCCCAATCATTTCCTCATGCTTGTTCTTTTGAGATTTGAACTCTTTGATATTTTTAATGGCAACTCCTCCAGTAAAGATCAGGTGAGTGAGAGAAGGTGAGGTGAGATCAAGTGGAATATGTATTAGAGCCCGACCGATATATCGTTTTGCCGATATTATCGGCCGATATGAGCCTGTTGCCGATATATCGGTATCGGCGAATATGCCGCCGATATGAACATTTTTTTTTACAGAACATATAACGCTCCATTGTTTGCTACTGGCGACCTGGATTAAACGCTTTTGAAGCTTAAGTCTATGGAAAACCATTGAAACTTTGAACGACCATATCTCCGTTACGGCGTGGCGAATCCGCACCAAATTCGGGGGATCTTTGGTGGATTTGGTGGAGATCCGCCGGTGCGTTCACCGAGATCGTGACACCAGTCAACACTTCCACTTCAGTAAGGACTTGTTGAGGCAGCAGCATTCAAGCGTTGTCTTATAAAAAAATGCAAATATGTAACAGAATATCAATGTTGTTTGCGTCATTAACATATTCTAACTTTTGCTGATGTTTTAGGTGTATTACTATCAGGATGTTAAGTGCAGGGATGAAATGTTTGATAAGGATGTTATCATGTTGCTGGTATGTCCTTAAAATCATAAATTTGTATGAAATATAAAAATAATAATATCAAATAAATAATCTAATTATTAAAGTAAAAATATATTCATTCAATTAATTACATTTTCTGACCAACCACAGATTGCTGCTTCCAAAATGGACCCCAATCATTTCCTCATGCTTGTTCTTTTGAGATTTGAACTCTTTGATATTTTTAATGGCAACTCCTCCAGTAAAGATCAGGTGAGTGAGAGAAGGTGAGGTGAGATCAAGTGGAATATGTATTAGAGCCCGACCGATATATCGTTTTGCCGATATTATCGGCCGATATGAGCCTGTTGCCGATATATCGGTATCGGCGAATATGCCGCCGATATGAAAATTTTTTTTTACAGAACATATAACGCAGATAAAATGCTTGAAATGGTGTAATT